TTCCTGACATGTTCCTGCAACATACAACCTCCTGTAGGAGAAACATGGATGCTCTGCCTCACTGTGAGATGAAAACTGCTAGGAAATCGGCTTAGATGCTTTCCCCTTCTGTTCCACGCAAGGCACTATACCTGGTAACATGTGGCATTTTGGCCAGTGGCTCTTTCCCCCTGGCTTGCTTTGCCTAGCCCTGCAAACAGTCTTAAAATCTGAGTGGCTTCAGAGCTGGCTTTCGGTCTGGTAGGCCTGGAGTTCTGTGTGTGTTGTGCATTCAGAGAGACAGGCTGTGAGCACACTGGCCCTTGCACACTTGGAATTCCTTGCACATACTGTTCTATATTTAGAACTCTCCCTCCTGTTCCTATACCACAGGTAGAAAATGTGGAACTTTATTTCTGTTTCACTGATTTTGGAATGGGTGTTGGAATCAGTTTCACAGCAGAACCCTGCTTCTGGCTTCCCGGGTCTCCGTAATATATTGACATATTAAGGGACAATCTCGGTTAAGTAACTGAGAAGAGAAAAACAGATTCTCTACCAGTGCATTAGAAGACTTTACAGAAATGTAATTTCTAATTGACAGCCCTATAGAGCAAGCACTGCTAGTTAATGTTGTACAGTTTGGGATCTCTTCTTGAAAATTGGGGTGGTCACGGTACAGGGGCAGTCTCATCGGTCCGTTACACGTGTGTGTTGTGTGTTCACATGGATGCAGACCCATTTTCAAGTGACAACGATGACACTTGAAAGTCATGCTAAACAGAATCTGAGTTGATAAATGGCTGCTTGATCGTCTGCCGTCAGATTAAGGCTTCTCAACATGTGTAGCCGCTCAGCTGATCGCTCAAACGGCAGATTAAAAAAAGAAAGAAAAAGCCGAACAAGTACTCTAAGAATATTGCCTTTGTGTCAGAAATGTGCCTTCATGCTTTAAAATGATAAAAAATTGCAATCGATCCTTACAACTGTTGTGTTCATCTTTATTGATCATGCACAAGAAAGATAAATCGCTGCCCAGATAAGATTATAGTAAATGTTAGCATCAGAGGGGACTGTTGGTTGATAGAGGACGATTCATCATCTCAAACGGTGACCTGTCCGTGTGCGCATTGTCGTCCGTCTGCTTGTCTAATCACATCCGTATTGATTTTATCTGCATCTGAAGAACCTGGATGTGACTGTCATTGGACAAGCAAGATTGCTAAATGCAAAGGGGGTCACCAGTGTGAACAGGATTTCATTTTCATTTTCTTACCGGCCAACAATGATTTATTAAAAAATAAAATACCCCCCGAGTCACATGCTTGGAACTTCGGGCCGTAGACAAATGAATTATTAGGCTAGGATTGCGGGAGCAAGCTTTGAGCGGAGGGACCACCATGTTCCCTCTAATCTTTGTGTGCCCTTTGACTGCGGTATCTGTTCTACAATTTATTATAATTTGTGTAAAAGGTGTGAGGCCTGAAACACAATTTTGCCCTTCTTCTCAGCTTAATGTTTTTTCCAATGATTTTTGTTGATCCCCAGCGAATTCAAAATGGTCTGGGGAAGCATAAGACACAGGCTCAGATGATTAAATCTCTGTCCTTTTGACTTTCTGCATGGAGCTTCTCCTTTCAGCTGTCAGTAAAACTACTTTGATCACTTCTTGGGCCATTGTAAAGGCATGTTGCTTATCGCCTGGTCTCTTTTGGAACAGGTAGGCAGGACTTGTTTCTTGAGGTCTTTTTATCATCACATAATGACAATTTTGATCTAATTCGTAGGACTCTAAGACAGAATGAGGCAAACATGTCTACCTATGGACTGAAAAGGCACAATGAGCCTCAGTTCAGAAAAGGTGGTGTTTAAGAGATGTGTTTATACATCAAACAAGCCAAAGGGGGTACTTCCCAAAATGATTTCCTCTGTGCCAAGCTTTCCTCCCACTCTCTGCAGAAGCATCTGGCAGCTCATGTCAAGGCAGTGCTGCATGATGGATTTCCCTGCTCACCCCAGTGGCAACGAGAGTATCACCAGGGCCTGCTGAAACAGAGGATGTAGGTAAACTGGAAGGTCTTTCCAAGGTCCGTGCATGGGCCTTGATCCAGCTGGCAACCCACTGAATGATCAGGAGCAAATTCCCATCTTTCCACCTTGATTCCAGGCTGTGATGTAGGAATAATAAGATTGGTTTCCCCAAGGGTTGCTGAATGTTATGGGTAGCATCATGAGCACTACGTGAGCGTGAGCGGACTCCGGGGGACGGTGGAGGACCGGAAGGCCTGCAGGAATGTTGTCCATGGGGTCGCGATGGGTCGGACACGACTTCGCGACTAGCAGCAGCAACAACAACATGAGCACCAAGGGAAAGTGTTGAGCAAGTGCAGAGCTTGCTGTTTAGCTTGGTGTGATCAAGAGGGCTTTGTGGGGTCACCATTGTGGTGGGAGGCAGGGGAGGCTGCGCATGACGTAGATTTAAGGTCGGCCCAGTGTTGAATCAGCTTGTTAGATATGGCGCCTTGTGTGTGTAGACGCGAGATGCCTAAGGTGTAAAATGGGGGGGGGGGTGCCATTTTAATTGCTGCTGAGGCACACGCAACCTATTGCGATTTGCTTCCCAGCATTCATCCCTTGTGTGTCCATACCCGGAGGCAGATTAAGGGGCACCTGATGGACCAGAGTCTACATCCACATGCCCGTTCCCTAGAAGGACGGGTCATCCAGTGGCAGTATATGGGAACTTGCATCCTGGTTCCTCAACTTTCAGGCAACAGCATCTTAATTTTAATCCTTCTCCAGATTATACTGGGACCATACATGGGATGGGAGGAGTTGACTGGTTGAGCCACTCTCCACGGTTCCACAGCTCCTCTAGAAATGGGAGGCTCAGCCAGAGTTTCAGGACCACGGTGCAGAGGGCCTCTGATTTCGGTCTTTGTTGTTTAACTTAGTCATTTTGACATGCTGTTCGTGTGGCACAGACAGTCAGGAGGGTCTGCAAAACGCCTTCCCACCTCATCCATTTTGAAACCCCCTCCACAGCGATGTGCCTTTGTTCTGGAGCTAACAATGTAACCGAGTAATAAAAGCAATTTCATATAAGAAAAGAGATTACCAAAGAGGCGTTATTTAATCATAAAAATGTCAGAGCTTTATAGCCCACTGACTCAGAATGTTGTCTGCCCCATAGGGAAGCTGTGACATTTCTAGGCACGGGAAAAACCATTGCTCCTTCAGTATCATCTGGCTTTGAAATTGAGGGAGAGTTGACTGGCTAGGAAGTCAGTGCTCACGGTCTGGTAAAGAGCTGTGTACACCTGGGAAGTATCCTGGCCCAGGGCGATGTGGTCCCCAGAGGACAGTGAGGTGGAGCTGCTCCCCATGGACATGAGCCACCTTTTTCTTCTCCTGTGCCCACTTGGCCAGAGGATGCAGCCCTCATCTTCTCGGAGGCAGACGAAGGCCCTGAACAGTATCCCTGCCTTCACAGCCTTGCAGAAGCCAATGAATACCAAATCAGGCAAACCCATCTCCTCCAGAGAGATGAGGTCAGCCGTAGTACAGACCAGGACAACCTATGTAAGGCTTCTGCTCCCGGCTGAGACCATGTTTTTTGCTGTAATAAGAGAGAACGCCAGCCAGCCAGCCAGCCAGCCAGCCAAGCCCACTGGGAGCTGATCAGCTTGCCTGACTCCTGCTTAAGAGACCTGACTTGACCTGCTTGGAAGAGACTTGGCCCGATCGTGTCCACTTCCCCCTGGGATCCCGAAGCCCCAGTGGAACAAGAAAGGGAGAACCTTTCTGAATGGAAGGGTGATTTCACAGGGCAGTGGGTTATGCTGGTTACTTTCCTCCTCCCATACGATGATTAACCATCTCCTAAATAAATGTGGTTATGGCACAGTGCAATCCGGTAGGACTTGTACCACTTTTGAACCCCAGGCAGAACTGATCTGTGTCTGGGGTGAGCTGTTATCACTCGGAAACATAACTAGGCCAGCCTCTTGGCACTGTGCCTCCTTGCTGGGGTGCGTCCCCCCGCCCTGAAGCCCACGTGGTTCACCGTCCCTCAGTCCCATCAGCAACGAAACCACCCTCAGCCTGTGCAGAGGTTCCTGGTTTACTTTAGCTGGCCTTTCAGCCTAAGCTGCATTTCCATACCCACCTGCGGGGGAGTAAGCCCTGTGAAACTGAATGGGATTTCCTTCTGAGTAGCCAGGTATGAGGCGGTGCTGTCACTTGTGGCTGTAGAGAGCACAATGCACTTCTTAGCTATGTGTCAAAATCGGTGGCCAGTCTAAGAAAACAAATATATATATGCAAGCGCACATACAGGTTTGTTTAGCAATGCATGCTAGATTTATATGTCAATATCATTTGAGGTGCCTGAGTTGTGTTGCAGAGGGGTAAATTAGCTGTCAAATTAAAGCACGAGACGTGTTGGTGACACTTGCATCCCACCGCACACACAAGCTAGTTGTTCAGCCAACTTACGGAATCCTCTGGCAACGGCTAATACAGAAATCAGCCCAAGCTGCTGTAAGCAGTCGCTGTGTCCATTGGGTGCGGCGTTGTGATGTCACAACGCTCAGAGCAACACTGGGGACCAGAGCTGAAACCGGGGATAAGGGGCATGGGCCTCGGATGTCGTGGATGCTATGGGCTCAGGGAAGCCCGGTAGCAGAGGGTGGGAGAGCCAGGAAGCAAAGGGAAGCTGTGGGGCGAGGAAGCAAGCACAGGGGCAAGAAGACCAAAGGGGTAAGGTAAGGCAATGCAGAAGGCTGACAGAAATAGTGACGGGAGGAAAAGAGGGCTGAAAAGGCAGCTTGTGGCGATGCTTACCTCATTCTGGTCAAGGCTTGTTATTAGAATGAAACAGATTTTCATGAGCCTCTGTTTGTATTTATGCTTGAAATGCGTGCATTTTTCCCCGTGGAAGCCTCTTAAACACCACTAAAATCTTTCTGTCAGTTGGTACGCAGTTCAATCATTCACACTTCTTCTTCTTCTTTTTAAAGAGTTCACAGTTCTACAAAGTCACCACGGAGCAGTACCAAAAAGCTGTTGATGAGGTAGAGTCCAGATTCAAGTAAGACCTCTTTCTTTTTTCACTTTTCTTTCTTGCTAATATTATTTTCGAGCTCCATGAATCTGATTCTGCTTTTGTTCATAATAAAGACAGATTTTTTTCCCCTTAGCCTATCAGTCTGCACTGGCAAAGTGAGAATGGAAAGAAAATGAGCTGCAGGTATTGGGACGGTAGGGAGAGATTTCTGACAAAGGCTTTAAGCCTGCTGCACAGTGCATTCAGCATGGCCCTGAAATTCAAAGCTTGTATCTGATTCCGAATGGGGAGCCATGGGGCAGAATCTGTGCAGGGTATGTGTGTGGGGGGGGGGGAGGGGGGCACATCTCCTGGATCAGCCTCATTAAAATGTAGGAGACTTGAACAGAAAAAAGTCATATATTTGACACTGTGGTGTATTAGGGCCTACGATAGTTTATGAGTCTACAGTCTTTAATTTTATTTATTGTACAGCATTTTTTGGTTTTCCACTGAAAATACTTCAGGCAGTAACCCTACTGCTGGATTTCAGCTGTTTCGATAGATTCTGTCTCTTTCTTGGATAGCTTGAAAGCTTTTAAATCAGCAATTTAAGTTTGTGCTGAATGGTGAAGGCCAGGTTAAATTCTCTTTATCATTCCTCCAGAGAGTTAAATGAAGAGCCCGTAAATGCAGGATCAAAGTGGCTCTGACCCTTTGCCCTGATCTTCCCTGGTGCTGCTGCTAATTCTTGCAGGAAAACATCATCCATCATATTTCAGGGCTTTCATGCCAGAAAATGTACCACCCCCCCCCCCCCCACACACACACCAATTTTCCTGCTCTTCTCTGGGAAGTTCTATCAGTGGAGACACAGACCGGTGCACCATTATTGGCTGGAAGTCTGCTGTTGCGCGTGGAAAGGCGTTTTGCTCCTCCATGACATATCGTTATAGCTCCTAATGACATGATGAAGCTCATAAAGGGCCTTAAGGGAGATCGCTGCTTTCTGTGGCCTTCACGCAGAAAGGTCTTTCACTCTACAAAGTTATCCGCCCTCACAGTGCAGGTGAAAATACAGGTATTTCTCTGTCGGAAAGGAGTGCGGCGCATGCCCGAAATTCTGCAGTTAGCGCATGTGCACCCTCCTCCGACTGGCTGGTCTGCCTGGCTCAGTTAATCTCCTCTTCTGGCTGGTGGCACCTTTGCAAGGCCTTTCCCAGCCCTGCTACCTGGGACCTCTTCAGGTGAGGCCGGGCCCTCTGAATGGGTTCCGCTCTCCACTCCCCCATGGAGGTCACTGAGTGACTGTGGGCCAGGCACGGCCCTTGCCTTGCAGGCTTGGTGTGCAGATGAAGTGCAAATTGCCCTGGGTTCCTTGCTGGAAAAAGGCAGGCTGTGAGTCTAACACACAAATAAATCGCTGCATGTCAGGGAGCATCGTCCACAAATCCCAAAGAAGCTCCAGATTTTTTAAAAGGATTGAATAATGGGACATGCCTCTTTCCAAGATGCTGTTGAGCCACTGCCGGTCAGTGTTGACAGTACTGGGCTAAATGGACTAACTGCCTGACCCAGTGTGCGGCAGCTCCCCTTTGTTGCTCAGGCCTTCTGGCAAAGGGAAAGCCGGAGACCTCAGGCTGCAAGCGCCCAGCCCAGCCCAGCCCAGCCCAGCCCAGGGCTCCGAGTGCTCTCTGATAGGCTGGTTTCCCCATCTACCTCAGTGCAGGTGGCAGCTCTGTGCATTGCTCCTTCGGCACACCTGGAGCAAGAAACCCCCTGCAGGTGCGGCGTTTCCAGTGCACAGCGTCTATTGATCCAGAGAGGCAGGATTGCTCTCAGGGGGGATGTGGCTCATCCAGGTCTTCTGACTTCTCAGCTCCTTCTCTAAACCGCCCCCTCCCCTGTGTGTGTAGACTGTGAAGGATCAGCAGGGCACGGCACCTCTGTCCCAGTTCCCGTAAGAGACCTCGCTGGGTCTCCAGGGTGCCGGATGGGGCTTGTGGGGCCTGGCCCTGCTGGGGCGGCTGCAGTTGAGCAGCGCCCTTGGAGAGCGGCAGTGGCCCACACACACTCGGGTTGCGTTGAGGGCTGCCATGAGCTCTCCTGGAGGAGGAAGGAGAGAGGAAGAAGATAGGAAGAAATGCAGGCAGCCCTGGATAAAGAGGGGGGAGGGAGGGAGGTGGTGGGGAAGAGGGGGGAGCCAAGCTGAGGCCCATGCAGGAGGGGAGGGGAGAAAGCGCACACATGCCAGGCAGAGGCGGCGCCTTACCTGGGAGATGTCAGTCTCTTTTGCCAGGAGCCTCTTGATTTCCTGGGGTGAGGAGAGACCAGCAGCTCTTCCTTCCTTGTCCCTGGAGCAGCAGCCTCGAAAAAGGCTGCCGTGAATTTCCCGGCCCATGACTGGGGGCATCCCTGTTTTCTCAAGGAAAGTTTCCAGGGAGAGGCAGTCAAGAAGGGCTGGGCGGTCAGGGGCACGTGGACAGCGTTTTCCTTGGTCATTTGACACAGATGTGTGTATGTGTGCATGTGCACATGCGTGTGTGTGTGGGTGCACTGTTTGCTTGCCTGCCTTCAGTCCATGCCATAAGTGAAGGCGAAGCGTATCTTCCCAATGTTTGAGCTGTTCCCCAAATATTTTGTGTTCTTTGGACTGGAAGCATTCGGCGTTGCAGTCCAACACATCTGGACATGCCAGGTTGCAGAATGCTGCTTTTGGCACGCAGTGCTCTCACATGCTGAGTTTCAGTGCACTCAAATACTGCCACTAAATGCATAAACAAAGAGAAATAAAAGTAGTGTATGGGCTTATTGAACACAGGGCTTTATTTCACCGGGTTTCATGAGTCGGTGGGACCAGATGTCTTTCTATTTCTCCTCCAAGGGCTGGGGATACCTTTTTCTGCCAGACACACATCCTGTCTACCAACAGAGTAATAGGTTCTTGGAGAGCTCGGAACCAAGATTTAGAGTGAATGCCAGGAAGTACAGTTAGGACCGCCAGGGTATGGAATGGGCTTCCACGGGAGGTGAATGGGCTTCCACGGGGGCTTAAGGATAGGCTGGACATGCACATGGTAGGTATGTCATGAGTGGAGCTGGCTGGAGCCGGGGGTCAGACTAGATGGCCCAGGAGGTCCCTTCTGACTCTTTTTCTATGTTTCTATCTTTCAGACTGGTTTGTGTGTATGTGTGTCCCCTCCCCTAGCTCCTTCCTTTGATTCTCACTCCCCACCTGCTCCCTCTTCCCAGCATCCACGAAAGAGGTGGAACTTGGTAGCCACTCTGTGCCATCAAGTGCTCTCCCCCTTGTTTAACCTGAACTCAAACCCTTACGCTTGATCTTTTCTCGTTCCTGCACTGCTGCCCTCTGAAGTCCCAGTCATCTTCAAATTTCTTGACTGCAGTGTCTGTTTGAATTGATGGTGGAACTAAAAAGCCCCAAATTTCTTCAATTAGCTTATTTTAATTTATTATTTAAAGAGGTGCATAATAGTGCAACATGTTGTATGTAAAACGTTACTGTGAGTATTATTGTCCTGTTAATTTAAGACCCAGTATTGCATATAATTTTCTAACCTCCCCATAATCTCTCCTTTGGGGACCTAGAAAGTGTTTGACTGGGGTGGGAGCAATAATTGTCTTTCTGTCAGCCTTGATACATAAATGTTTGTTTTTTAAAAAAGAAAAGCTAGTCATTGTGCATTTCCATGCTCTTAAGAGTTTAAATTAAACAGATGTTATTTTAAGTGTCATTTGGCATTTAGCTTGATAAGTAAATTATGAAAGATTTTGGTGGAAAACTGAACCCTGATGCGCTTCTCATGTCTCGTGTTCAGTTTAACTGAACGTGAGGATTGAGGACGGGGGTTTCAAGTCAAACTGCTTTAAAGAACTTGCTTAATTGCCTGTAAAAGAAGAATTAAGTAAGGTTGAACTGCTAAATTTATAATTCTGCTAAATGCATAAACTGGCATTCGGCACGTCAGTGTGACTTCAAGTTGGGAGTGTGAGATTAATAGAGCTAATTGTGGTATTGTTGCAAAGCAACTCCATTTAATAATGGCAAACATGCCTAGAATTTTTAGTAAGTTTTCCACTCAAAGATTCACTTTCTCTGTCAGTTTTTAAATGAAAATTTCACACGCAGGGCTCGGTGTTGTCAGCAGTTATGGTGCTGCCCATACTAATTCTAACTGAACTGGCCAGGCCCGACCCAGCCAAGCCAAGCCAGGGGCACAGGACTAGGCCAAGCCCGGTTTTTCCTATCACTTGACTGCAAGGGGTCGTAACGGGACAGGAGCTCTGCGCACACCTCTAGTGTAACTATCCCGCTGTCCACATTTGCACCATACGCGATATTCACGGTGTGGAGCACAGGAGAAAGAAAGGGCGCTGGTCTCAAGGTTGGGCTCAGGCTGGAGCGAGACAAAAGACTGAATAGTTTGATTTCTGGCACTGAATAGAAAGTGTCCTTAATCTGTCCTGGTTCTGTGGTTGATGTTTGGGCTGGTCGGTTTGGCATTAGAAAAACCGGGTTCCCAAAGGAAAATTAGGTTGTGCTGCAGCTTAATGATCCATCTGGAGGTGGGAATACTCCAGGACCAGAGGATTTCTCCCAGCAGAGCTCTCGACTGAGCCTTTAAAATGACTGTTTGAATGGGGTTACATGTGATGGTGACTTAGTAGTTAGGGAAAGGTGCTGGAAAAGGTGCAGAAAAGGGCAGCCAACGCAATCTAGAGACTGGAACTGATCGCCTGTGTGGGGAAGGTACAACACCCAGGCCTTTTTAGCTTAGAAAAATGTGGTGCAGCTAGACTTCGAGGTGCATAAAATTATGCATATCATGGAAAAAGTGGACAGGGAGCCATTTGCCTGCCTCTCATAATTCTGAAACACGGGGCCATCAAGTGAGGCTGTATGGTGGGAGATTCAGGCAAGAGAAGGTGCTTCTTCGAGTCGCACATAGTTAAAGTGCGCAATTTGCCATCCCCGGATGCAGCCCTAGTCGCTCGTGCGGGGTTTCCAAGGCATGTTAGACCTG